CTCCATACTATAATATTTCTCATGATCAAGATCTTGCTGTGCAAATCTGTCAAGGCTTACGTCCAAAAATTCCATTCAAGACCCCAAAACTTTTAGTTAGATTAATAATGCAATGTTGGGATGCGAGGCCATTGAACCGACCAGAAATTCGGCAAGTGCTCAAAAGTATACAAGAGTGCTTTGATTTGATCGAAAGTGATGAACCTTCGGATTTTAAGGAACAAGTTAAAGATTACGAAAGTGAAGTTTCAAAAGAATCATCAACCATTAACTCCTCGGGAGTTAATTATAAAACGCATCTAAATGCTTTTTATACCAGCAGACTTTTGAATTTTTCTAACTTACCACAACCAACTAATGCCCCTAATTTCGAAAAAGTACTCAAAATGTCGCCGGAAGACTATGCAGGTGAATATACTGCAAGCAGTACTGTATAATATAATGTTTATTGCATTTCTAATTTTTATTAACAAGTTTTATCTTAAAAACCTTTTGCGCAACAGATTCAGGCTTACATCGACTTAAATTACCGTAATCTTTCGATAATACTAAAATTATTTTCTTAAGTTATACCGTGGTTTAATTTAATTTAATGCTTGTAATTTCATTTGCGCCAAATATTATAGAAAACCCTTCAGTTAGCAAGAATGTTTAATCATAACTCGTTCCTTGAATTATTGTACGATTAAACTTTTCTATTTCATACTGATGCTTTTTACTGTATTTTTTGTGTGTTATACGTAATCAATAGATTTAATAATAATTCGGTAAAATTTTCAAATTAAATATAAATAATGTCTTACAGTTATTTAATAAGATACTTCTACTGTATTATAAAGTGATTACGTAACCCTTATTCAATCAGTGTTCTTTAAGTTTTATCTAAGATGAATAATGGTATAAAAATCTATGCTTTGTTTGACTCTATTATAAAAGAGAAATTGTATATCAATGCAGACAACCATTCATGTGCTGAATGCATTCGTAAGTTTTTCGGGAACACCCTTCGCTTTGGACAAGTGGTAATTTATAAATTGATAAAATAATTCGAGAATCTTAGGAAAGTGTATGGGGTATAGATAAAACTCTTGAATGGATATCATTTGGGAAATTTTATGATTTAAAAAACAATAGACAAAGATGCAATATTCTACATATTGGAAAGACAAACCATTGTTTATTGGAACAAACGACAGACTCACAATATTTTATAAGAAAGGTCCTATAAAAGTAATATTGAAAAAGCATAAAAAATATTCCTTAACGAGGTAAAAAGCATCATTAAAACTTTTTTTTAAAAAAAACGGTCACATGTTTTTAATCAAAATGTAGTTAAAGGTTCATTATAAGTTTTATTGTAGTATATACTCTTAATGCCTATTCGTGTATTCGGAATATCTAATTTCATATTTTTTATATTTGCGAAAATCGCAGATCTTAGAAGTCTTAAAAAGGAAAAGCATATACAACAGCGGCCGATATCTATAGTATGGGAATTATTATGTAGGAATTCACATCTGGATACTGTACTGTATCCACCTTATTACGATACATCTCATGTTTAGATCTTACTTTTAAAATTGTTAACGGACATCAAATTGGGAATAAAGTTACTGTAATAGAGTTTTGTTGGAACGCGGACATTTTCAAAAGGCCCACTGCTAAACAAATGCATGAAAATTTCAATAATGTATTATCTCTTTGATGAATTTGCGAGAGATGTATGGGAATTTAAACTTAAATGGCATGTTATAAGCTGTCGAGAAGCAAATAGTCAAATGGAAATGCATCCAAAGGCAATCTAAACAAGTCAATTTAATATCTAATCTTGCATTCTTCGTTGCGTTTCTATCAACTGATGAGCGAACAATGACTCAAAATTTCAAAGTATTCAGACGCGTTAATGGCGTACGAAGGGTGTCGAATCTATTACTTGCTTTAAATTAAGGAATCAAAACATTAAAGGTATACACGATGGATTCGTGGACCAGGAGAAAGACGAGCAAAAAAACTCGAATTTACTTTTATGCCTTTGAACTTATCAAACTTCATCAGTTACTTGAGATACAATATTGGAGATAGTCTGAAATACGTACAGTAACTATCGATATAAACTTTATACACAGTATTTAATTGTTCGATCGCATACGTATACCCACCACTTTCGATACAGCAGCTTCACGGCTTTAACGTCCTAACGCATTTTGAAAGTATATAATGAAGCAGGGTCTCCTTTGGTCCGCATGACTTTATGAGTCGTCGTTGGGTAGACACTGGTAGCTAATGCGCTTCTTCTAGATTTTACATTGTACGGGTTTAGAATATTCTTGATTTCGATTATTGATTAAAGATTCTAATTATTTGTACTAAGAAAATCAAAAATGTCAATGATATTTGACCTGGTTAATAACAGAGGAATAATCGTCTTTATTGCTGAACATATATTCGATGGTAAACAATAGGAATTGGTAAAGATTAAACTGAATTCCTGATTCGCTTTCAGTACATTTTATTAATTTTGAAAGTATTGCGAAGGCGATAAAAATAAAGAGAATTGCATATTAGTGAAATGAACTTAATATTGTCAAATTTACTTCGTTGGTATGCGTGTGTGCATAAAGCACAATTTAAAATGAGGAATGAACTGGCATCCCCATTTTTATATAGAGTTCTTATTTTTTTTTTTGTTTTTATACAAACTTCGGGTTTAAATATTGAATTTCCCAACCCTTGATTAATTAAAAATTTCATTTTAAGCAAAGTTCGATTGAATATGAACGATATGTTCGTAGTTTCATTTATCTCGTTTTTTTCCATCGCAAAGTCTTTCAATCTCAACATTCAGGGCCCACACCCATTCCTCCCTTTCGGTTCGACTTCTCGCTCTGAAAACCCAAGTTTTCCCCGGGTGATCCAGCTTTACCTTTTTCTTGACATCCAATCCAAATAATCCACTTTTTTTTTCTCCACTAAACTCCAGTGTGCTTGTCCTTTTCCCTTTCCAGATTACAAACGTACATTCTTCTTCATCATCATAACAATACATTCCATCTTCATATATCCTGGGTAATTTATGTTCTGCTCCGCTTGATGCTAAACTATATCTCGAAGAATTCGAGTAAAGTAAATCGTATTCTGTTATGCTCCCGGAATATACGTAACAGTTGGACAAATCAATAATACCATTACGTTTGTGATAACACCTTCTGATTGCACGACCAGATATCGACCGTGAATATACGTTGAAGTATATAAAATGTCCTCGCGTTAAAACGTGATGATAGTTTCGAAACGTGCCATGAAGATGAGATTTATGATATAGCAACCCGGTTTTCTGTTGTAAAGTTACAACGAATGATTAAAAATCAATGCACAGAGTCCAACATGAACGTAAAATAACTACCGTGAGGTCACGACATCCGTTTAAGGTGCACCAATGCCAAACAGCCGGGTTGGCATACGATTTGAAGTTGTTAAAGTGTTCCTGTATATCACCATCTACCATGCTCACGTGATCTTCATCCTGGTTTTCATTAGACTGATTTATCTTAAGCATATTAATTCTCGTTTGCGCGTCACTCTCGACACGAGCTTTCCAATATCGTACAAGATCGCTTAGACGTTTAATCCATTCATCCCTTGTTTCGTGTGAGTAAGCCTGTCAAAAAGACACCTTTAGTTAAAATCGCGAAGAAAAATGCTCAATTCGGGTCATCGTGCAATCACAGCACATTACCTGCAGAACGATGATCTTGTTATTTTTCATCACTAGCTCGAAAGGAGACCCCTTTCCTTGAGTTTCACGCTCACGACCTTCACCTTCCGCATACTTATGGTCCCCATTATTATCATTTCTATGCGGTCTGACTTCCACCACTTCGATTAAATTAATAAATCCGATCGCGCTGACCACTTGCTTATAACGTCTCTTTAAATCTGCCTTCATGAAAGTACCATTTTCCTCAACTTGTCCCTGAATTTGTGGGGCAATTGCGTATATCAAAGGTCGTTTGTCAATGCACTGGTTTTCGCCGTTCGTGTCCAAGGAATCGGTTTTTGGTGGAGGTGGAGGGCACATGGAAAAAGGTTTCATGTAGAAAAAGTAATAATCATGAGTGGAAAAGTATAATCTTTTTGCATTTTTCTTTCGACCTTTGTTATTTGTGATTCTGAATAAACGTGAGATTTATTATTCTGAAGTGCAAATTGCCAAAATTACATTTAATAAAATGTTCCAACCTTATGAGGTATCCTTCTGCCGGAGGAGGTTCCTATGGGAAATATCGCAGATCAACAACCAAGAAATATTCGAGGGTCAAATTACCAAGATGCAAATCGATCTGATTTCTCACCATCAATTTTGATCCATCGGCCAACGTAACGGAGGTCGGGTAATGTTGTGTAACACGCAATTGTAAATGATGTGTCTAAGTTGACATACAAGTATGTTTGGTTGATCATGTAAATATGCTCGAAGGCTGAATCAATAATATTTATTAAAAGGAATTTACCCGCTCAATGAACTGTGGGCAAACCAATAAATCGTTCCGATCGACGTTCCCATCATTTTTCTCCCAAATAATCCACTCGAGTCGATCGTACCTTTTCCAACACAACCTAAGATCACCGTGTTCCATCCATTCATTCAGCACATCCTCCCACTCACTTACACCTGACAATTGATCTAACACGACTTTCGTAACTTCTTCTGCCGTAACTCGGAATGCACGATCACCGTCCTCCAGGGGAATCCGAATTTTCACATTCAGATCAGGTACGGAAACTTCGCATACAGAAGGGATTGGTTTTACAACGGACTCCGGAAATAACCCACGAAGAAGTAGATACCACTTAGCACTCAACGATCTAGTCTTTGGCCGAAGGATGATTACTTTCGTCCCGTGTTCATAAGGATCTATAAGCGCCAGGGTATAATCTACCGTTGAATATAAAGATAACTTGGTTTTTGAGGAGAAAACCACTTTATCGACTTTATCTTTCTGGATGAGGACATGAATCAAAGCACTATCAGTAAGTTCATTGTCGGTAATCGGAATTCGACAAGATTAAAATCATCAATCACCTTATTTTTATAAAGTTCTATTTTCTCAGGTCGTAATTTCACAATGTATTCTCTCCATCCTGTAGAGTAAACGAGATTTTGCGATGAAGATTCGTGCATTTGTGGTACCTGCGTGTGATAATCACGTTCAACTCTAACCAGCATGCGATCTTCCTCGATGACCGATCCAGGTTCATAACTGTGATTATTCAAAAAGCTTGCGACCGAGGCCGTGTCAGGGGTCAGAATATTATGTACACCGAGGTGTCCGGTTGCTTCGATTGCCGCATCATCATTTTGAAGTGAATGAGGAGAACCTGCGGTGATTTCTGATGGCATTGAACCTGAATTTTCCAGATGATCATTATTTTCCTCGGGGGGTATTTCAATAATTGAAGGCGGCAGCATTAAATTTGAAAGAGGATGTGAATTGCTAGAGTTTGGTGAATGTGTTTCCGGTTTGTATATCTCATTTTCTCGTACAGGACATACAGGTGGTTTCGACGATAGAACCTCGGAAGGTGTATAAAAAGCCTCATCGTCGCTTGAAGGGCTGCTGAGATCTGAATCTATGACCTCTAAAGGTTCATTGACCAGAAAAGGTTTATCCGAGATCATTTCAAAAGAGTTCCTAAATAAAAAAGGTATATGATCTAAACATTGTTGCGTAAGGGTTTGGAGTAATTCAGATGCGTAAGTACCTTTGTTCGTCTTGCGGCAGAGAATAGTCAAGTGGTAAAACATTGTTGGGACCGATGGCATAGGATTCCGCCCTAAATGTTTTTTTCCCGTGATGTTCCACCTGATCACTTTTTGAGAACAGAAGGGACCGCTTCTTATAATTCCAGTTCATAGGCGTTGGACCGATGAACACTCTTCGACTGGTTGAATGAAGGTGTTGCGACATCGATCTGGATGGAGTGATGTCTGCACTGGATAGCGAATGCCGTGGCGTCCACTGATGGAAGGAATTGTGCTTCTGTAAGTCGACATTATCGACAAACCCGGAATCTGCTGGCATTATTTATGTTAAAAAAGGTGAAAAGGAGAAACGGGAGGTGTTTAAAGAAAGTGGTCGACTAGGAAAGTGAGAATTGATTTCAGTATTTTTTTGAAAATATTTTATATTAGAAATAAATTATCGATGTTACTTCAGAGTTCGTCGACTGAATACGTATTATTTGAAGTGTTAGTGGCTAACAAAAGGTTGAGGTCAAATAAATACGTCATCTCTTTTACCTGTTTGATTCAACCGCTTGTTTAATGATCAAAAAGAGAAAAGGATGAGGTGATGATGATGGCTACACATTTATGTGAATGGATTTTTAAAGAATGCATGTGTGCATATGAGTGCTAGTCAAGTTCTCTCAAACTCATGGCAATTTCGGGACTTATGGAGGACCCTCTATTTTTGGACAATGATCACATTGATGTCACATAAAAGGGTCTGCCTATCCCTTATTGGGTCATTTACACACTAGTGCATGAACATATTAAAAGATTGTTTATACAGTGCAATAGTGTATTTCAATTCAGTTTTTTGGTTTTTGGTGCAGTGATAGTTGTGACTGATTGACGAAAAAAAATAATAATCGTCGTTCGTCATAAGATTTATCGAATTTTAAATAATAAAAAAAAAAATAACGAATACATATTTCTTTTTACGAAAACAAATAAATCATCATGCGGGGGAGGAGGCTAACTTTAATTAATGATTTTTTAGTATAGTAAAGAACATATAAGAATCTCACGATAACCTTTTATTTGTTACATAAAATAAATAAATAAATAATTTTATTTAAAACGATATTAAAGACAGTTGATTAATTAAATATACTGTATTTACTATACCATCTACTTCCACCGATTATGCTCTAACACACTTTCGAAAAAAAACCAATCTTTCATTCAATGAACTGATGTAATTATATTATTTATTGAATCTAACACATGTTTACAAGAATGTACCCAAATCGATCTCTAAAGAAGAACAAGGGTAGATGATTTCAAAGTTCTCCAAGACTTTTGGATGAATTATGCCAAAGCTTCCAATCTTAGTCACAGTCGATGAAGAACGGATGAAAATATCGGCGCTGCGATTAGGAAAATATGTAGGATCTTTCGAGAATTTTTGGTTTAAAAGGTTGATAATATGAAAATGAAAGGTTTAATTGATTTTTTAAAAATTATCTTATTACGATAAGAGAGATAAAATTATGTCAAGTTACCATCTGATTCTTTTATAAAATATCCGTTTTCGTCACCAGAAGCTGAAACAAAGTTCACGCGAAGCATATCCATAATACGATTCACAAGTCCGTGAATAAACTATTAATAAAAAAGTGTTACTCAGGCTTCAATGCAACGGATAACATTATTTCCACATGATATACAATAATAATACATACTTCGAAACCCGAGACTTTATTACAATAAATTGCACAAACGTGCCTATCATTTCGTGCTCGTCTCTCCAGTGAATCATCTTTGAAAACAACATCTGAAACTTCAAAAACCTTGATTGGCAATGCATTTTTCTTGTTCTCTCTCACCGTCTTCAAAACACCAGGCAAGAGTGAAGTACGAACTACTTGATATTCAAAGGTTTTTGGATTAGCCAGTTTTACGGCTGTTTTATTGTCATCTTTTTTATTTAAGTATGCAAAATTTTCATCATGAGAACACTAAGATAAAATAAAAGATCAACATTTAGAAATGATGCTGTAAATGCAACCGTTGCGATAATTTTACATACCAGGATTAAAGGTAAGACCTCAGTCCATCCCGCTAAAGCTAATTCTTTCCTTATTAAATCACTCAATTTATTAATTGGTAACGCTTTGCCAACGGTAACACTGTTAGGTAGAGTTTTCGGAATATTGTTAAAGCCATAAGCAATCGCGACATCTTCCATTATATCACACGCATGCAGAATGTCCGCCCGAGTTGGTGGCACATCGACCAAAATTTCATCAGTGTCATCGTTCTCTATCATGGCC